TTGCTAAAAAGAACATTATTTTGTGTATTTGGCATAATGCAATGTGTTTATGCGGTTTAAGGTCCACATTTATTTTCCACATAATGTACATTATTGTTGCTCCTCTATGCCCCGCCCTTCTGAAACGCGTCGATATTTACAAAGCTCATCGGTCTGAAAAGCGAGGTGTGCTCTGATTGGCCAGCTATCCAGTGCGTTGTGATTGGCCGAATTCCTCAAGCGTGTGACAGAATTGTTAGGCCCCTTAACATACTGTGATGCCGTTTCCCGTAAACATAAAACCACGTCTGCATTTGTGATCGGAGAAACGGCAAACAACAAGCGCTACTCTACACTGCTCAAAACAGAATCGTCAGTGGCAAATTCTTTAAATATGAAAACGTACTTACAGGCTGCGAGTCAGAAGTGCCAGACTGTCCTTGCAAAGTTGGAACTGCCCCACTTTATAGAAACATACACCTGCATTGTAGGCTACTCTCACAGGAAACAGTCCTCGTCCTCCATAAAATGAGCTGCACACATCTGAATATTTGGGTTGAACTGTTCCGGAACAGTGTTGTAAATACAACTTAACCACTGATTTCTAGTCGTGTCCTCTTTTGGAAGGCCAGACAAAGTAGTTTCGCTTTCATAACGAAACACACAGCATCTCCACGACATGGCGGCGTGACAACAACAATACTACAGCGAGAATCAAAGTTACGCCGGTCGTTCTGGTGCTCAGTGCTCTGTAGCGTCGACCAGATGGCAACAGTTCAAAGAGGGAGTGTGCTGGATGTGAGGGGTCCAGAGTGATTCTGCCAGCCCTTTTGCTCACTCTGGATAAGTACAGTTCTTTTAAATCCAGCAGTCATGTTTTGCTGACTTTATGAAACTAAAATATCTAAAACAATTGCTGTGTCAAATCACACAAACACAAAACAGTGAGCACTAACACAATAAAAGTTTTCAGTGGTCTTTCTAAGCTCGCAATGGCAAATCAGGACATCTCAGTGTGTCAGATTGTAGTTGCTGGGCTGTGCTTGTTTTGCTTTAATTTTTATTTACCATTAAAGGGGTCATATGACCTTGCTAAAAAGAACATTATTTTGTGTATTTGGCATAATGCAATGTGTTTATGCGGTTTAAGGTCCACATTTATTTTCCACATAATGTACATTATTGTTGCTCCTCTATGCCCCGCCCTTCTGAAACGCGTCGATATTTACAAAGCTCATCGGTCTGAAAAGCGAGGTGTGCTCTGATTGGCCAGCTATCCAGTGCGTTGTGATTGGCCGAATTCCTCAAGCGTGTGACAGAATTGTTAGGCCCCTTAACATACTGTGATGCCGTTTCCCGTAAACATAAAACCACGTCTGCATTTGTGATCGGAGAAACGGCAAACAACAAGCGCTACTCTACACTGCTCAAAACAGAATCGTCAGTGGCAAATTCTTTAAATATGAAAACGTACTTACAGGCTGCGAGTCAGAAGTGCCAGACTGTCCTTGCAAAGTTGGAACTGCCCCACTTTATAGAAACATACACCTGCATTGTAGGCTACTCTCACAGGAAACAGTCCTCGTCCTCCATAAAATGAGCTGCACACATCTGAATATTTGGGTTGAACTGTTCCGGAACAGTGTTGTAAATACAACTTAACCACTGATTTCTAGTCGTGTCCTCTTTTGGAAGGCCAGACAAAGTAGTTTCGCTTTCATAACGAAACACACAGCATCTCCACGACATGGCGGCGTGACAACAACAATACTACAGCGAGAATCAAAGTTACGCCTTCTTTCTTTGCATAAACATTTGGGCGGCATTATGCAAATCTTCCCACATCGTGACGTAGACATGTGGGGGCGTGTTAGAACGAGCTGTTTTAGGTAGGCATGGTTAACTCTTAACTTTTATAAAGAATATAAGAATATTTGAGACTTTAGTTTTTGCAACTTCACAGCTCTTCTTTATGCACCAAGAGCTTGTAACACTCCAAAGAGAAAGGAACATTTTAAATCGCATCATATGACCCCTTTAAACTGTCAATGCATTTTTGAACGGTTCCTGCGGGAGAGTCAGGATGTCGTGCTTTAGTGTCCCTGAAGCAAGTTTTAGTGTAAATGCCTTATATAATGACAGCTGCACTGTTCAGAGGAACATGCCTTGTGGTACTATGCCCAGTTTTTTTTTAAATTCATATTTATTTGTGTAAGCACAAGGACTAACCTTTTTGCTGCACCCTCTACATGGAGCCTTATATGAAGAGAGCTGCTTCTCCACGCTGGGGGATTTGTCCACTTTCTTTGGATCGAAAGGCATACGGCAGAGGGGACAGAGAGGCGATGTCACCTGCAAACACGGCTGTAGACAATCCCCACAGAAACTGTGAACACACACAGACACAAACATATTACAGATACCATGTAGTGTGCTATCACATAGTTGGTAGATCTAACTTAAAGTTCTCTCTTCTTATTTTTTTCTTATTATTATCCATTTACAATATTCAGCATTTATCACAATTATGTATTTGTTTTGAAAAGGGATTCATAATTTGGACCAAACAGTCATTTTTGTCAAATCGATTCAAAATATCCTATAGACAGCATCGAAACGGGGGGGGGGGGAGGGCCCCATAAGGAAGGGTTTATTAAGTGGGGGGAGGAAAA